ATGGAAGTTACAATTTTAGAATGATTTGTCCATGGGTGGTTAGGATGTTCATAAGTATCAGCGGCTGTGTGCATCTTTAAGGCTTGATTTCGAAGGGATTTTTCCCCCCTAAGATTTTGTTCTAGAGACATTTGTTGTCCTAAGAGAGCTCCACTTGTACATGTGCAGACAACTGTCTTGCAAGCACTGGGATGTCTTAGGTCATCCTTGCTTATCAAGTGGAAAGAACGTGCATACCGGCTCCGATTGCTCAAAGAGCTTAAGCATGTGCTGCAGCCCTGTTAATGTTAAGCATGTACGTAAGAGCTTTGCTGAACTGGAACCACACAGCCCATATTAGATTCTCTCTCAGCTTGTTTGAGCTAATAATTTACAGTTGCTGACTCCCTGGTTCATACTTAGTTAGTTATCCTGATGGATAATGCATCAGAAAATAATATTAATCCAAAGTAACATTACAATTATATCAACCAACCAAAGCAAGGGAAATTCAGATGTACAGCTGCTGCTCCGTCCTTTACTATGGATTACCTTTTATCAGTTTGCTACTCCTTTAGTCTTACTCCTGAGTGCTTTGTATTCAATTACTTTGAACTTTTTACTGCTTTCTTCAAGTACGCAAGACATTTTGGCAATCACTGAACTGGCAAATTTTAGTCTGGAAGGGATTTTTTTCAGACAAGTTACAAATACCTGCAAAGTAGGCGTTGAAGTGGAATGCTGGCCCAGCATTAACAGCCTCCAAACGTGGAGAATTCACTTACCGACATCGACAGAGACATAAAAAGGAATCAATTGATTTGAGGTAATGTACACTTTTGGATGAAGATTCTTTGCCTCCCTCTGGAGCCTGGAAGAATTGCACGAGACTGTCTGATCCATGGAAGGGCACCTGTTTTCCATAGGTTTAACTTCATCAGCCTGTGATCTGGCTGCTTCTGAAGCCTGCAATTTTCTTGTGACATTGTGGGTTGCTTAAATATATGGGCCCCTGTACTACAGAATGATCCTCCCATACAGAGCCCTGCTTATCAGTGGGGCTCTGCACAGTGCAGTCTGCGGGATTTAAGCTGTATTGTTTTTAAGTTGGGTTCTAAGCAAAAACTACTTGTTGCTAACACCAGTAAGACTTCAACAGGTGGTTTTGAAAGTTGGTAACACTTGTTTAAAAAGGGGGGGAAGCAAGGGGAGGTGTAACTGACACGTCATGCATATGCAGAGCTGCCTGAAAGAGAGCTTCTCTTCTCTTCCCCCCCCGTTCTCCCCCCCCCGCCCCCCCACTGTACACCACATTGTGGGGTTTATGCTGTTATTGAAGCACAAAGCTCAGCTTTCCCCCATCTTAGAGATCAGGATAGTCTCCAGCTTCGCCATGGCGAGGTATGTTGAGAACTGTTCCGTGTGTGTTGTGGGGCTATGCCAAGAGAGGAGCATTTAGGAACTCCAGAGGGACCATAGTCCAGAAGTGGTGTTTGAAAGCTGAGGAATGGTGTTTGAAAGCTCAGACTGCCTGCATCCCTTGCTCAGAATCACCACAAAATAAATCTTAATACAGAAGTGGTTTAAAAGAACAAAATGATTTACAGTGAAACCTTCACAATGGGCAGGTCTTTGGTAGTTGTCTTTGCAGTGGATGTACCATAAAGTGGCTCCTTTAAGATTTCCGATATAATTTTGTTTGGACTTTTTATTGTCTTCTCTGGGCTAGAGTTTTGCTGGACCTTTCAGTGCTCACCCAAGACACTTTTCTAAATCTAGAATCTCAAGCCTTTTTAAAGAGGAAAAACCCTTTTCTAACTCCTTAATATTTTTTCCATTCTGCTCCCAGTAAGACATAATTTGTTCAACAAGCCCCAAATAGTTTTTTGAACCTGGTGGCCAAAAATGGAAGAAACCCCACAACAGCCTTATATATTTATTTGAAGCTCTGCAATAAAACTTGCCTCCTTTAGAGTGAAAGGCACTCTTGTACACTGCGTTTCCAGCACACAGACTGCTTCAACTTCTGTGCTCATCTTGAATGTAAAAACTCAGTTGTGTACACGCACAGGTTGTGATGGGACGGTTTGAAATCCTTTTACGGGAAGGAACAAATTCAATCACTGTTGGTTAGTTGCCACTGGACTGGATTGAATAAAAACCTGGTCTATCTCCCAGAACCTCCAGCCTCACTTGAGCTCTGAAATTGTTTTGAGGGCGTGGGCTTTTTTGAATGCACCTTTAAATGCTGTTATCTAGAATCGTTATTAAATCCTGCTTGATTATATTTAACACACAAACCAATTTTCTCTGAAATAAGACATTCTCCCTTCCCCCAACTTTAATAGGACCTACAATAACTCTTATCAATATTTAAAACTTTCTTCTTGAAGCTTTAACCTCTTCCATTGCTGCAGAGATGCCTTTCATGATGATGGCATTGGGTTGCCTGCTGCTGCTTAACGTAGCAGAGGTGGGTAGCCTGTGTTTGGTTTTTTTTCTCTGCCTCAGCTTGATCAGAACTCCAGTAAGATTTCCCTGTACAGTATGAGATTGACTTGTTTCATTTGCATGTCTTTCACCCAGAGTTGTTGGAGAGCAAAAACTGAACGTTTTAAAAAGCAAACGGCTAGTGAATTTACCGTGTCTGTAGGATTTGTACACTTCCCACATAAACCTCATATATCAGCCCTCTCATGCTTGACGTTCACTGCAGAAGCTAAAACTGTACAAAGTGACACAGGAGATGGTCTATAGGCAATGACTGGAATAGCTTTATACCAGGTTGCAAGTAACATGAAAACTGTAAGGGTGTTTTCCCGGTCTTGCTTGTGGCATTTCCTGATTCTCATTTCCATCTGTTCTAGTCCTTGTGGTGATCCTGGCCTGATAATGTTTCACTGCTTTGCTTCATTTGTGGCCTCTTTACCAACACATTCATGTTCTGCCAAGTCAGCAGACTGGAGTGGGAAGGACCCAAGAACAGAAAAACCAGCGCTTTTGCCTTTCCCTCCTCTGCCCTGTGTGTTGCAGAAGGCATGTTCTGCATAGTTTCAACATGGCTCCCAAAGTGGTCTCTATGAATGACAGAAATGTTGGTCTTGATTTCCTTGCTGTCTTCCCCAATCCTGTCCCCAAGCAAACAGGTCTCATGTAATACGCACAAAGTGTGATCCAATGTAGCTGGTGCTGTGAGTGAGGTTTCCCATATGACTCAGGTGTACAGGATGACTCTGCCCTACTAGTCTTTTAGGCTCATCCAAGTGTAGGAATGACAAGTGGATTTCATTGATATTTAAATCTGTGTAAATTTCATTTTGTTAATGTTTTCCCCCAATGAATTTTTAGCAATTTAACAAATAAATAATTAAAAGATGGCTGGCAATTGTTTTTAAATGATTTGGGCTTTCATGTAAACTGTATTGTTCTTGTGGCAGCATCTGGCTTTCTTCCCTGTGTACCCGCCCCCTTGTCCTAAGAATTATTGCTCTGTTTGACTAATTGAAACAAGCCATAATGGTTGTTTTGATATTGGCAAGGGGAGGAGTTTTGTATTGTTTCAATTAAGTGTATCTCAGTTGCACTGTATTCCCTTTTGAGAGATCAATTTTGATTCCTTTGAGTAAGTGTGCTGGAATGGGAGAATTCCTATCGTCAGCTCCTCTACATCCTTCGGTTCACTCTAATCCTCTGCCTCGTGGTACTGGGAGGTCTCGGGCGGCTTTGTCCTCACATGAGCTTTTTGGAATTTCTATGGGGTCCCTTCGTGAAGGGCTTCACATATCTTCCAAGTAACTAAAATGATGAGCTATTTTCCAAGGAGCCAAAGGGATTTGGGCACTTGCTTGTCTTTTCAATTCAGTGGGAGTTGGGGCCACCACCCAAACAATCTACTCGTGTGCCTGAGATCGGGAAGGAGTGGAAATAGGCCCCACAGTTGCAGAGCACCCCCACATCCAGAATCATCCTCCTGATGGAGATGGTGGCCGTGGCCAGGGCCAGGAGGAGGTTGACACGGAGGTTTTGTGACTTTGTAGGGTCACAGCTAGGGTGTACAAAAATGAGGCATGGGAAAACGTGGACCCAGAATTTCAGCAGGCGCGCCTGGAGAAGCTACGAAAGGGGCTGTAACCTGGCACACTGGAGGTAGGTGGATGCCAGGTTCTTCTTCACACCACAGAAGGGGCAGGCATTGGGAACTGAGATGAACCATGCCAGGTACATGCCTGTGCTCAGCTCTGTGCCTAGTGGGCTCTGGGATCAGGTGGAATAAAGACTGCTCTACCAGGGTTCCTCACCTTCCACAGGTGCTGTAGGTAGGCCCCCCATTTGCTGGGGTGGGACACAGGGCTGGGGCAATGGAACATGTGGAATGTGTGCACAGTTGGTGTCTGGGCACTGTCTGGAGTGGATGCAGGTCATATAACCAGCTGGGATTAGGAAAGGGGCTTGTGGACCAGGGCCCCAATAAAAGAAGAGTGGCTAACTCCGACCTCTCCGTTTGGCTCTCAGTAACCTAGAGCTGCAGTGCCTGGCGTGGGCAGCTTTCAGCAGGGGCTACGGATGGTGTTCCCTGTAAACTGTGGCCCCTTGGGAAATTAAAATTAGGGATGTTAAGCTTTAAAGCCTGTAGCTGCTGAGAGCTAATAGCAGTAACGGGCTGTGCAATATAAAGCTTAAATAAACGTTATACTACAGGGGTGCCTCTGTAGCAAAGCTGCCTCCATGGGAGCAGCAGGGCTCTGCTTCTGGTGGGCTTTGCAGCTCCAGCTGGCCCCAGCCGCCCTGCCCTGTGCCTGGGGCGCAGCAGGAGCAGGACTCTTAACGGGGGCTCCTTCCCTGCCCAGCCAGCAGGGGGCTCCCTCCCTGCTCAGCAGGTGCGGCTGGAGGGGGGGGCGGAGCTTCGAGGTTCCATTCGCCGCCCCGCCCCGCAGCGCCCTTTGGCGGCGTCCCGCGTGACCGGGCCGCTGGGGGCGGCGCCAGAGCTCGGCCCAGCGGCGCGAGCCAGGCCCCATCCCGCGGGCGGGAGCTAGCGCCATCCCCTCCCACGCATGCGCTGCGCCCGCCCCCCCGGATTGGACGCGCGCTCAGGGGGCGGGGCACACGCAGGCGAGGCGGAAGTGCCTGCTGCCGGTGAGAGCAGGGGGCCTTAAAGCGACAGGCTGCGGGAGGCGGGAGGGGCGCGGTGACTGTCCGCCCCCGGGGGCGGGGCTGGCCCGTCCGGGAGCCGGGTGCCCCTCGAACTGCCCCCCCGCATCTGGCTTGCTCAGTGACCCTGGGCACCTCCTTTCCCTGCTCTGTGCCTCAGTTTCCCCATCTGCCCCTGTGGCCTGGTAGGGCTGCCCCCCCCCTTTCTAACCCTCTCCTAGCTCCCACCACAGGCCCGCTCTGTCGGGGGAGAACAGCTGGAGAAGCACCTACATCGGCTGCATGGAGTTTTGCCCCAGGAAACCAGGTTCAGCTGTAGGGTAGGGAAATAAAAACCTTTAGGCTACGTCTACACTGGCATGATTTCCATTAAAAGTATTTTTGGAAAAATCATGCCAGTGTAGGTTGGCAGGATAGGATGCTTTTCCGGAAAAGCACTTTTTGCAGAAAAGCGTCCATGGCCAATCTAGACGCGCTTTTCCGCACAAAAAGCCCTGATCACCATTTTCGCGATTGGGGCTTTTTTGCGAAAAACAAATCTCAGCTGTCTACACTGGCCCTTTTGCACAAAAGTTTTTTGGAAAAAGACTTTTGCACGAACGGGAGCAGCATAGTATTTCCGCAAAAGCACTGACAATCTTACATGAGATCATCAGTGCTTTTGCGGAAATTCTTGGCAAGTTATTCCGGAAAAGCGGCTGATTTTCCGGAATAACTGGCCAGTGTAGACACAGCCTTAATGTATTGGGGTGCGTCTACACTGCAGGGCTTAACTGGAAATAAGCTATGCAAATTGAGCTATGTCAGTTGCGTCTCTTATTTCGAAATAGGGAGTGGCTACGTAGCACTCATCTCGGGATAGAGCGCGCTCTTCCTCCGACTTCCTTCACTCCTCGTACAATGAGGGTTACAGGAGTCGGAGTAAGAAGTCCTCCAGCTTGACAGTATTTTGACACCATTTCAAAATAACTGCCTGCGGTGTAGTCGCAGACTAAGTTATTTCAGAATAGCGTTGCCGTGTAGACGTACCTTGAGTTACCAATTTGGAACGTGCCAGTCTTTCAAGGGCCCAGCTCCTTCCTAAGCAGCCTTGTTCCCTGTTGGGATGAATGGGAGGAGGAATGAATAACAGCAGGAAGAAGTGGTAGAAATGTAGCCGTGTTAGTCTGGTGCAGCTGAAACAAAAAACAGGACTGTGTAGCACTTTAAAGACTAACAAGATGGTTTAATCAGTGATGAGCTCGAAAGCTCATCTATTAAACCATCTTGTTAGTCTTTAAGTGCTACATAGTTTTTCCTTTTGTTTCCACGGCTAAGTTAATGGTTCTTCGGTATTTGCACACCCTACCGCGGGTTAATAACAGCTTGTGCGCTTCAGCTTGAGGTGGCCAGAGGCACTTCACGTGCAAGGGAAAAACACTTCACCTACTGCCTAAAATGCATCCACCTCTGGGGTGCATGGTAGCTGTTTCATAGGGCACAGTAATGCTGTGCAATAACATAGAACTGAATGTGAAGAAGAATTCTGTATCTAGACAAACCTATAGGAGGGATTTAATGTGGCAGATTATCATTACATAACTGGGAGCTTGAGTTATTGTAGCTATTAGTTAAATTGGAGAAGTTGAAGATAAATATGAAGGCGGGTAAGGAACTGGTTAAAAGAGAGACTACAGCAGGTCATAGTGAAAGGGGTCAGGCTGGAGGCTAGTTTCTAGTGGAATTCCCCAGGGATCAGTCTTGGGACTGGAGGTGAAAGTCAGCCAGTGCATCCTGATTTGCTACTCCGGCAAGAAGGAGCCAGCTGGCCTGTTGGGGCATTCAGCTTCAGAGGTGGCACACTCCCAGCCTGCCTCCTGGGGCTGTCCTGCAGGCTGCTGCGCTAAGCATCAAGCAGATGAAAGGGAATGGCTGGGGGCACCCCCTACCGGTCCAGGATTGCCCCAGCCCGGAACCCCTTTCCAGGATGCCCTTTAGAGAAGGCAGGGGGCTGCACTTCACCTGCTCCCTGAGATTTGTACCAGGACATCTGCTGTTCCCCTTCCCATCACTGTCAGGGAGCAAGGGGAAAGTGCACAATTTGCTACATTCCTCTCACTCTGGCAGGGGAGGTGTGACGGCGCGTCGGGGTTTCCCCAACTCCTGCACCCCCGTAGTGGCACGAACAGATTCCACCAGCCAGTAGAATAGAGGGAGTTTATTGCTTCTCCAGGATACAGCACAGTATCAATGTAATCTGGTTACAGGGCAGGCCTAGGATGCCTCAGCCCCCCTAGAGATGGGGGGAGACTGGGCCCTTAAAATCCAGCCCCTTCCCTAGGCTGCCTCCTCCGTGATCCCAGCCAGGAAAACTCCCTGTCCCTTCCAGCCCTGCCCCCCAGCCAGGGCTGACTTCGCCCTCCTTCCTTTGTTCCGCTCCCTGGGAGATAACTGGTCAGACAGGTTTGGAGCCCCCTTGCATAATGACTCATCCCCTGCCCTGCTGGGCCGTGCTGCAGCCTGCAGCCAGCGGAGGTCACCCACAGCCCACTGCCCAGCATAGCAACCAGCAAAGTACCCCCACTACGTCACAGGAGGTCAGGGGGCAGACAAGCTGGACATTTTGCTCCCATTCCCTTACAGGGACAGAAAGGGGAACAGCAAGCAGTGTCCTGGTATGAATCCTGGGGGGAAGCGGCTTTAGTTCCCCTGTCCTCCCTAAATAGTGCCTTTTCCTTGCAGCTCCCACACCTGCAGCTCTCTGCCCTGAGCCCCTCCTCATCCCTAACCCTGACTCCTGCCCCCCCCCACATACCAACCCTCTGCTGAGCCCTTCCCCATCCCTAACCCTGACTCCTGCGCCCCCCACATACCAACCCTCTGCTGAGCCCTTCCCCATCCCTAACCCTGACTCCTGCGCCCCCCACATACCAACCCTCTGCTGAGCCCTTCCCCATCCCTAACCCTGACTCCTGCGCCCCCCACATACCAACCCTCTGCTGAGCCCTTCCCCATCCCTAACCCTGACTCCTGCGCCCCCCACATACCAACCCTCTGCTGAGCCCTTCCCCATCCCTAACCCTGACTCCTGCGCCCCCCACATACCAACCCTCTGCTGAGCCCTTCCCCATCCCTAACCCTGACTCCTGCGCCCCCCACATACCAACCCTCTGCTGAGCCCTTCCCCATCCCTAACCCTGACTCCTGCGCCCCCCACATACCAACCCTCTGCTGAGCCCTTCCCCATCCCTAACCCTGACTCCTGCGCCCCCCACATACCAACCCTCTGCTGAGCCCTTCCCCATCCCTAACCCTGACTCCTGCGCCCCCCACATACCAACCCTCTGCTGAGCCCTTCCCCATCCCTAACCCTGACTCCTGCGCCCCCCACATACCAACCCTCTGCTGAGCCCTTCCCCATCCCTAACCCTGACTCCTGCGCCCCCCACATACCAACCCTCTGCTGAGCCCTTCCCCATCCCTAACCCTGACTCCTGCGCCCCCCACATACCAACCCTCTGCTGAGCCCTTCCCCATCCCTAACCCTGACTCCTGCGCCCCCCACATACCAACCCTCTGCTGAGCCCTTCCCCATCCCTAACCCTGACTCCTGCGCCCCCCACATACCAACCCTCTGCTGAGCCCTTCCCCATCCCTAACCCTGACTCCTGCGCCCCCCACATACCAACCCTCTGCTGAGCCCTTCCCCATCCCTAACCCTGACTCCTGCGCCCCCCACATACCAACCCTCTGCTGAGCCCTTCCCCATCCCTAACCCTGACTCCTGCGCCCCCCACATACCAACCCTCTGCTGAGCCCTTCCCCATCCCTAACCCTGACTCCTGCGCCCCCCACATACCAACCCTCTGCTGAGCCCTTCCCCATCCCTAACCCTGACTCCTGCGCCCCCCACATACCAACCCTCTGCTGAGCCCTTCCCCATCCCTAACCCTGACTCCTGCGCCCCCCACATACCAACCCTCTGCTGAGCCCTTCCCCATCCCTAACCCTGACTCCTGCGCCCCCCACATACCAACCCTCTGCTGAGCCCTTCCCCATCCCTAACCCTGACTCCTGCGCCCCCCACATACCAACCCTCTGCTGAGCCCTTCCCCATCCCTAACCCTGACTCCTGCGCCCCCCACATACCAACCCTCTGCTGAGCCCTTCCCCATCCCTAACCCTGACTCCTGCACCCCCCACATACCAACCCTTTGCTGAGCCCCTCTTCATCCCTAACCCTGGACTCTTGTACCCCCACACATTCCAACCCTGTGCTGAGCCCCTCTTACTCACAGTCCTGACTTCTGCAGCCCTTGCACACATCTCAGACTAGACTCCTATAACCCCATGCTCCCTGCTCTGAGCCCCCTCCACCCCGACACTCCCAATCCCCTGCTTTGAGCTCCCCACATTCCACCTCACACTTACATTTCTTACAGGTGCTGTAGTATCACGACCACCCAACCGCCTATCCTGAGGGGTCCCCTGGGAGGAACTGTGAGAGGACGGTACCTGTTAGAAACTTAAGTTACTCCCCCCTCTGCTTGGCATTAATCTTATTTAACATTTTCCTTCATTGCCTTGGCACAGAAAGTGTGTGCTAATAAAATCTGCAGATGATACAAAGTTGGGAGATATTGCCAATATGGAGGAGGACTGGAATATTATACACGATCTGGACAGCCTGGAAAACTGGAGTAATAGAAATGGGATGACATTCAATAGTGTAAAAGTGCAAGGTTGTGCACTTAGCAAAAATTTGTGTCATTAGTCCCTATGAGCTGGGGACATAGCAATTGGAAGTGACCCAGGAGGAGAAAGACCGGGGTGTATTGGTCAGGCACTGAGCCCCCCATGTGATGCAGCCATGAAAAAGGCTAATATAATCCAAGGATGCATTATTTCCAGTACTACTGAGCAACCATCTAAAATACAAGATTGAATTCTGGTCTCCCATGTTCAAGAAAGACGAATTCAGCCAGGAATGGCTACTAGGATGATACGAGGAACCTCCCTTCTGAGTCTAACCGAGGCTGAGGAGAACTGTGATTGCTCTTTGTAAACACGTCAGAGAGATACACACCAGGGAGAGGGCGCAATTATTTAAGTTAACAGTCAATGTGGACACAAGAACAGATGGCTGTAAACTGGCCATCAAGTTTAGACTTGAAATTAAAAAAGGTTTCTACCTCTCAGAGGAGTGATGCTCTGGAACAGCCTCCCATGGGCAAAAAAAAATAACATGTTTCACGTTACTGTGGGAGAGATCTAGGTTGGATATTAGGAAAAATGATTTCCCTAGGAGGGTGGGGAAGCACTGGGATGGGTTCCCTAGGGAGGGGGTGGAATCTCCATCCCTAGAGGTATTTAAGTCTCGGCTTGACCAAGCCCTGGCTGGGTTGATTAAGTTGGGATTGGTCCTGCTTTGGGCAGGGGTCTGGACTTAATGACTCCTGAGGTCTCTTCCCACTCTATGGTTCTATGAGCTGGATAAGTTTCTGGAAGGGAGGGGGAGTTACTGTTTTACATCTCTAGTTTGTGACCGAGCCAATGGTTTTATGTATCCATATGTAAAAACGATCTAAAGAATGACCTAGAACCTAGACTGCTTTGCCATTGGTATAAAACAAAAGCCATTCATCGGCTCCTCTTTGGAAGCCTTGGGCCTGGAGGAATAATAATTCTCCCTAGCACATTTTATCAGTAGTTCTCAAAGTGTGTTGCAAAAGAGATTGGTATCATTAGCTCCATTTTATGGAAGGGGAAACTGAGGCACATTGCGGTTCCCTTTAAGCCAGGAGCCAAGTGACTCGCTCGAGGTTGGCTGGGAATGCAATCTAGTTCTGTTAAGTCTGGTGGTCTATCCACCGGGCTGCCCTAATTCCCTTCGGGTATGTCTACACTAGCCCCCTAGTTCGAACTACCTGTTATTCCTCCTGGAATGAGGTTTAACAGGTAGTTTGAACTAGGGCTTTAATTCGAACTACCAGGTCCCTGCCGCGTGTAGACGCAGGCAGTTAGTCTGGACTTGTACATTTCAAAAATGGCGACCGGCCGGGAAGATGCAAATCAAGCGCAGGATATTTAAATCCCAGGCTTGATTTGCAACTTCGAATGCCTACATTAGCCTCCCTAGTTCGAACTCGGGGGCTAGTGGAGACATACCCTGAGAGATCTCTGGTAGCTGGTTCTCTTATATTAGCCTATTGTTATTTGTAATCCAAATTCTAGTAGCCTCTAAAGATCACGGTTGAGACACAAGGAGCTTACAGCCTAGCCAAAGGGTGGGAGGGGAAACTGAGGCACAGAGAGGGGAATAATTTGCCGTCATAAAGGAGAATAAACCTATGGTATTTTTGTGTTAGTAAATCTATTACCCACAGATTGAATTCCTTTCCCTTTTCGCTCCTTCCACAGATGTGTTGACAGTGGTTGAGTAGCAGACGTTGGCTCCTCACAGCTGCCTGTCCAGAGATGGCAGTTTCCCCTGGATCTGTGCTTGTCCCAGACTGGCACAGGTCGCCAGAGGGCAAAGTGTACTTCGCCACCATCCTGCGGAAGAACAAGCGGAAATTCTTTGGTGAGTTCTTTCTGCCCCCATGGCTGTTGCACCCCCCAGAGGCAGCTAGTGAGAAGAGATGACTCCAGAGGACAAAGTGACGTGACGTGGCAGGAATGGAGAAAGGTGGCGGGAATCGGCTGCTGAAGGCCTTTGTCCCTCTTTGAGGGTTTTCTTGGCCACCTATTTTGATCCTATTGGGGAAATAAAACTGCAGATTCAACTGCAGACCATTTATAGATATTGAATGGGCCTGGGGGGAGCAGGAGTTTGGGGCATCAGCTTCCTCCCCTGCAAACGGGCTCATAAGGGTGAGATCAGGATTGTTTACAACGTGCTTTGAGATCCTTAGATGGAAGGGCAAAGCTTTACTCAGCGAGTGCTGGCTAAGACCTGTGGCATGTGTGTCAGAAGCAGCCATGGGCTGAGAGGGAAGGTCCTCGCGTGGATTGGTAGCCGGTTGGAAGACAGGAGATTGGAGAGAGATGGGATCCAGCCGAGGCACAGCGGGGTGCTCAGGCCGGCTCCCTGCCTGCCATGGCTCCCGCCGGCTGCTGCTCTGTGCGCCCTTTGGGGGATCTTTGTGTGCTGCCCGCACCCACCACCCCCGCAGCTCCCATTTTCTGGCCACTGGGAGCTGTGGGGCTGGTGCTGGGGGAGTAGGGGCAGCAGCAGCAGGAGCCAGATGCGTCCGGGAGCGGCACCGCGGTCCAGACAGAAACGTGGGCTGGGCCGTAGTTTGCCCACCTCTAGCCTAGGGCCGTTGCTCAGCTCGGTTCTTTCATTCCAGGGCTGATGGAAAGGCCAGTGCTCCCCCCGCGGATGGCCGCCGACACGGCCAGCTACAAGGTTTTTGTCTCTGGGAAAAGCGGCGTGGGCAAAACCGCAATGGTGGCCAAGCTGGCGGGACTCGAGGTGCCCAGTGCGCATCATGAAACAACAGGTGATGGGGGAGGCGCAGGCGCCGGCGCCCCCCGGGGAACGAGACTCTCTTGGCCGGCCCGGGAGGGGGGGAGAAGCGGGACAGGCCGGGGGATAGTTCTTGGAGGGACGGGAGGAGCAGCGCTGGTGAGATCACCACAGCGGGGCATCCTGCTGTGAGCCCAGAGAGGAGTTAGCGCATCCCTGGAGAAGAGGGAGGCAGAATGGATTTCCTTACCCATCCTGGGTCAGCCCCGTGCCGATCTGCTATGGGACCTGCTATGCCGATCTCCCTGCTCCCAACCTGCCTGGCGCTCTGCTTTCCCTCTTGGTCTGATTGTGGGGATCGGCCTCCCTTGGGTGCTGTCCCGTTAGCTGGCGGAGCCCTCCCTGTCTTCCATTGCAGAAGCCACCGGAGCCTAACAGAGCCCGGGGGGAGGAGGCGGGTGTAGCTAGGCCTTGTGTGTATCCAGCTTGTTCCCCCAGTTATGAGGAACCCGTCTGGGGGTTTCCTCCTGGTTGTGCTGTTGTGTGGGGAGCGCGGACACAGCACGGACAGGCCTCCCTCCGCACAGCAGGTGACGGGGGTGGAGCAGGGGGTGGTGCGAAGGGAAGAAACCTTCAAGCGAGGGAGCGGGGAGGAGTTCTTACCAGTGCGAGCAGCCGGCCCTGGGGAGTGGGAAGTCGGGGCAGCAGCATTGCAGGGAGCCTGGAACAGGCTGCAGGTGATAAACGGGCCAACGTCAGGGGTCCGGCTCTCTTCGGGCCTTGTTGCCCTCTTGCCCCTATTCCCCCATCCAGATGCAATGCTCCCTGCTAAGCACCCGTCCTGGATGCCGCGGGTTCCCTCAGCCTCCCAGCGCACAGGCATCTTGTGGGCAGGGCAGCTTCTGTGAAATACAGAACAGGTCCAGTTCCGCGGGAATAATGGCACCTAGTGACTCGCCAGTCCCACTGCCTGAGTGTCTGCCGTCCTGACACGGCCTTGGCTCTGGATGGGGAGGGGGGATTTGAACCCACCACCATGGGACATTACACAAGTCACCTGCTTTGTCCTGGACCTTCAGTCCTTCTTCTGGGACACAGGGACGGAGATCCCGCCCTGCTGGGCAGGTGAGGGCTGGGATGAGGTGGGAACAGCAGCCGGCTGTAGACAGGCAGGGCTGTTGTTCTTTGGGCGTGCACGTTTACCCTTCTCACCCACAGACTCTGTTCTTAAACCTCCCTTAAAGGCTGGTGAGCTTGGCCCAGGGTGGGATGTTCCCCATGTTACAGGTGGGGAAACTGAAGCCCGGGCCAGGCTGGCGCTTGTCCGAGGACCCGCAGAAAAGGAACAGCACAACGAGGAATAGCACTCAAGTCTCATGACTCCCCGACTCCTAACTGCCGGCCGATGCCGCTTCCTTAGTGTGGCTGCCAGGCCTGCGTCCAAAGCGCATAGCAGGCGTCAGTTGATTAAACCTCAAATGTCCCGTGAGGCCGGTCCATGTCAGATCCATTTCACAGATGGGGAGACCGAGGCCCAGAGGTTCTGAAGCCCAAGGTCACAAGGGGAGTGCTGTCCACTATGTGACTCCCTCCAAGCCCTGAGAAAAGGCCTTGGCGCCCGGGAGTTGGGAGCGCTCGGGGGGAAGCTAAACGCAGCGGCTGATCTCCTTTCAGGGATCCAGACGACGACGGTGTATTGGCCGGCCAAGCTGAGGGACAGCGGCAGGGCGCTCATCTTCAGGTTCCACTTCTGGGACTGCGGAGAAGCAGCTCTAAAGAAGTTTGATCACATCCTGCCTGTGAGTCAGCCCTGGGCCGGGGAAGCCGTCTCAACCCGCTGTCTCCCCAGGAGCTGAGACTGACTCGAGGCACAGGACTCGGGTCTGGATTTCAAGCACCCTGTGCTCGGGGGATGTTCAGAACTGGGCTGGAGGGTCAGGCCTGATGCTAACAGCTACGGCGAACTCCGGGGAGGAATGGGTCTCAGAGAGAACTCAGTGGCCCCTTTGGAGGGAGAACTTGGGCTGTCGACACAGCCTGCGTGGTAAGAGGCAAGGCTGAGGGGTCACAGCAGGACCAGACGTCCCCTCCCCTCTCCTTTGTCTCCCTATCACATGCCTGCCCGGCTGACTCCAGAAAGAAATGCCTCTAAAATGCATTGGGGTTCATTCTCATTTCCATTTGATGCCCTCTGCTCTTGGTGCAAATGAGAGTCAGGCCTGCTGGTGTCAGGCATGCCCTGGTAGGCCAGTGCTAGTCAGGATTGATGTAGGTGGGCCTTTTTCACGTGGGGAAACTGAGGCACAGTAGGGGGAAACATCTCATGTCAGGTCACACGGGAGCGGGTGGCAGAGCCTGCAATGAAACTTGGGTGTGTCTGCCAATCCAGGGGTCAAGCTGCTAGCTGGTCCCTCCATCTGCTGTCAGGGACTAGCTGTGTGCACCTCGTCTGATATACAAAGTGTCACCCTCGCCTAGGCCTGCAAGGAGAAGGCAGATGGCATCCTCTTCCTGTTTTCTTTCACCGACCGCTCATCCTTCAACGACCTCCCCAGCCAGATCTCCCGTGTCACGGAGGGCGCCGAAGACCTTGTCAAAATAGTGATCGGCTCCAAGTATCCTTGACTCGCTGACTCCACTCCACCCTGTCGATTGCTTCTAGCCCTTGTGACGCTGATCGCTGGGGTTTCCTGCTTGGGATGGGGGTTAGCTGGACACACACAGGACTGTTTACTTCCTGTGGCACTGCAGAGCGAGCTGGAAATGTGTAGCACAGACCCAGTAGTTACACCTTGAGGTCCCTGTGCAGACAGGACCTGGCCCTCACAGGCACCTGTTGGGAGGGTCAATCTCATTAGCCCTGCCCCACAGATGGGAAAACTGAGGCATGGGACAGGGAAAGGGACGGGACTGATCCGAGCTACACAGGCAGCCAGTGACAGATCTGAGAACAGAACCTAGGAGGGCCTCATTCCCCCACTGACCGATCTTTATTCGGACTGCACTCGGAGGTCGGGGTTTGGAAACAGGCAGCGCGCACCCTAACCCTGCCCCCGCATCTCTCTGAAGCCGCCGTCTCGGTCTGCAGAATCTCCGCTCCCTTTAGAATTGGGGGAAAAAAACCCAACCCCAAAGCGGCGCCTCTAGCTGCTCCGTTGTGGTTACAGCATTAGAAAGGGGAGCAGGGCTGAGCTCGGCGAGGTGGGAACTGCGCCATTGCTCGCGCAGGGCTCACGGGAGGAGACTCGGCTTTCGGGCCACCCCCTGTGGCCAGCCAGAGGCTGCTAGTGGCCCGCAGGCGTGCGAGGCTTCAGCCAGGGAATGAAGCGCTGGGAGGTGCCTGAGGGGGCTGGGGGGGGACAGCAGAAGGGAGCAGGAGGCTGCAGCTGGGGCCCACAGAGCTGGATGCCCAGACTGCTCCCTGTGCTCCCCCGGAGTCGGAGCTCAGCCCGTCCCAGCGCCTCCTTCCCTGCATGCAGTCGCCTCCCCCCGGGCCCAGCCGGGAGAGCTCTGCACCGTGCAGCTCCAGCATCCAGGCTGCAGCCCCCTTCCCTCCTGGGCAGCCCTGCGCGCAGGCCAGGCTGCAGCCAGATTCGGAACCACCCAGTGCTTCCCTTGGGGCTGCAGCCTCTCAAACCTGCCTGCAGGTGGCGCCTTTCTTCCTGGTAATTTGCTAATAAGCAGCGTGGGATAGGCCACCGCAGGGCCCATGGGCACAGTCCGAGCTGGGGGGGGGAGGGCAAGTGACGCCGGGGAACGTGCACGATCCTGTGCGGAGGAACTGCCCTGTCTGGCGTCTCATCACAGGGACTCACATGGGCGAGCCTTGTGGAGGCGGAGCTTGGAACAGCACCGCCCCCTTTCCTCCTCGGCAGCCAGGCTGTTGGAGGATCCTGGGGGTGGGGGTGAGTGGGTCCCTGGCTCTGTCTCAGGTTTCCTGTAGCGCCCATGATGCCAATCGCAGGCCTGTAGAGCCCCATGCAGCTCCTGTCGCTCTGCCCCATGGCAGCAGAGAGCTGGGCCAGTGGTACCGGGAGCCCTCTCCCGCGTCCAAGCATCCGGCGGGGCAGATGGCAAGAGAGGAAGGACGTGCCACCTGCTCCATCCGGAAGGGGAGATATTGGGCCCAATCCAGACTAAGCCGCATCGTGGCCCGTCGTTTTGCATGGAGCCATCGGGGGGGTGAGGTGCCGTGCCCTGGCGGTGCTGGCTCCGGGCTGCCATCTGCCTGCCATGCTGTGAGCGCTGCCTCCTTGACAGAGCCCGCCCAGGTTCGACCAGTTCATGCACACCGACGTCACGGAGCGAGACCTGGCGGAGTTCCAGCGCGCCTGGCGCCTGCCCGTGCTGCGGATGAAGAGCGTGAACGGGCCCCGGCTGGCTGATGGGCAGACCCTGGATGGCCGTGCGGGGCTGGAGCATGTGGCTCATGTGCTGAACGTGCTGGCGGAGCACCTCTGGTACCAGGACCAAGTGGCGGCCGGCCTGGTCCCTGCGTTGCAGCCTGGCGCGGAGGAGACCTCCCCATGCTGAGAATCAGCTCGCCTAAAACTTGGACACGACTGGCGGGAACTCCACTGCAGCCCCGTAAGGACCAGCTCATGTGCAGATCTGGGAGCCTTCTGCTCCTTCTGGCTCTAGCATATAGATCTGGGAGCCCTCTGGCTCTAGCTTCCACATCTGGGGGCCCTGTGACTCTAGCGTCCCCATCTGGGAGCCCTGTGGCTCTAGCATCCCCATCTGGGAGCCCTGTGGCTCTAGTGTCCCCATCTAGGAGCCCTGTGGCTCTAGTGTCCCCATCTAGGAGCCCTGTGGTTCTAGCTTCCATGTCTGGGAGCCCTGTGGCTCTAGCGTCCCCATCTGGGAGCCCTCTGGCTCTGGCATCCAGATCTGGGAGCCCTCTGGCTCTAGCATCATGCAGAAGCACCCTGCTTGGCACTGGCATCACACAAGCCCACAGCCAGATTCATCTGGGGACCTTTGTTTCTGGGGGCTGTGCCCTGAGACAGCACAGTCCCGATTTCCAGAGAAGCTAAACACCCTCAGCTCACACGGATGTGCCTCGGGGTCAGAGCACCTCAGCCCCAAGCATCCCACGCTGGGTATCCAGAATCCCAGACCACTCCTGGCTTTAGCTTTGAGCTGAGCCGGTCCAGCTGCAGCCTGTATGCTCCTTCCTTCGTCCCTATAGAGAACCAGGTGGTGGCCAGGGAACCGGTGGAGGCTGGCGCGGTGGGACGCGGTGGGTGGGGCTAGGCCGTTTTGGAGCTCCGGGGATGGGTGCCCCAGCTTGGCATGCCAAAGCAGCGAGACGAGCTGGGCGGCTCGTGGCTGACTCCATGTGGACGTGGCATGGCTGAGCGTGTCCTTCGGCCGCGTGCACGTCTGAACCTCCATCACCTTCGTATCTGGGCGGGCTCTGGGCTCCGAGCAGCAACAGCTCTCAGTTCTTGGTTATTAAATGCTGATGCCTGTTTGGGTGGCATTGAAAGGTATCCCCAGGGTCTAGCTCGCCCTGGCTCTGCCTGTGGCATGAGGGGCCGGGCTGCGGTCCCCGGGTGGGATTCAGGCTGAGTTGTGGTGAGTCTCTGCCCCCTGCTTGTGCTGGCGTCAGGGGCATGGCCTGGGCTGGCAGCTCGGGGGCCATTCCTGCCCTCGCTGGAGCTGTGGGTAACTGTCAGGCCCTGGGTGACTCGGTGAAATCTGAAAACAGGCTCCCAGAGCGGCTGGGCGAGCTCCAGCTGCGCTGACACGCAGGAGTATCGCCCCGGCCCTGCAGGCGGGTTCCACCGACCAGCCCGGAAGGGGGCACTTCAGGAGAAAGGCGGAAACTCACCATAAGAGCCACTTGAGATCGACTCTTCTTTGTCCCCCCGACCCCTTGTCACGGCTGTTCCCCACTCTGGCACGACGAATGCAGAAGTGGGGGCGCAAGAGCACCCCAAAACCTTGTCTCTGCAGGCTCTGGTACAACAAACCCCCCCAGATCCTAATACCTGGATTTTGGGAACTCCATGGTCACCACCCAAGTCATTCCAAGAAAACCAGGGAAGAGATCACGTGGGAAACTCCTTCCTAAGGTCAAACTCTCCCCTGCCCCAACATCCGTTTTACTTGGAGTTGAGAAAACCGGGGGGGGATTCACAGACCACAGTGGACTCTACCCCTAGAACCAGGCTCTGAGTTAAAGGACACACCAATCAGCCAGTTCTGGTTGATTAGAAAAAGAAATAAACTTTTATTATCAAAACAAAACTACAGTTGCAAGCAAAGTAAAGTGGCTGGCTGGAAAGAGCCGTCAATTGATCTAGGTCAGTGGTGGCCAACCTGTGGCTCAGGAGCCACATGCGGCTCTTCCTCCCCCAGGGTGC